AGCCCGGGTGACTTATCAACTTAGTGAGAACCTCTCAAAAGAAAAAGTAATTTAAAAAGATTCTGATTAGTATATGCTTGCAGTGCATAATTATATTCATTGTGGTGAGATGGTTCATATATCGAATTCATCTTAATTCTTTTTTCATCCCTAAAAAACAATTTCTTCCAGACAGGATTTCACTATATAGTTCAGGCTGTCCTCAAACTCTTGATGACCCTCCTGCCTGTTAAGTGCTGGGACTACAGGCATACACCAGCCTACGTGGCTGTCCATGAAAAAAATTTATAAAAGGACTAAGATACAGCTCAGTGTAAAGACCCTGGGTTCAATCCCCAGTACTACGACACACATACATACATGGGTACATGCATACATGAGTAAGCAAGCATGCTTTTTGATTCAACAGTTACACATGCAGAAATTAATTTAAGGAAATACTCAGGAATGATGTACCAGGATGTTAGTAACAGCATTATTTATAACATGGAACAAATGGAAACAATGATAATGTCTAACAGCAGGAAGTTAATTGAATTATGACAATTCAGATTATAGACTATGCATCATTTAAATCAGAGTATTTAATGATGTGGAAAAGATTTCTATTAAATGAAAAACACAAGTTACAAAACAGCATGCATAACAATCCCTATTGTACTTGTTTATTTATTTAACCATACTGCAGATTAAACCCAGGGCCTCATGCACGCTAGGCAAGTGCTGCACTACTGAGCTACATTCCCGGTCCTTTTATTTTTATTTCCAAAATATACTCATGCAGAGAAACAAAACAAGGTACACAAAAATGTTAATAATGTTCTTTTAGGTAGAGCAATTATTTTCCTGTTTACTCTCTTTTAAAAGTAAGTGAACTATATTCATGGTTGGAAAACAATGTCATTAGCAGAGCTCTGTAGGCGTTAGTTCAGTAGGCATTCAGGTCCTTACTGAATGGTTATTTGCTCTTGGCCAACCAAAAGTAGGCTTCCTCATTAGGAGTTTTGTTTGATGGGTAGGTCAACAGAATGAAAATTGGCCTCAGACTGTTCCAACACTTAATTTTACTACTGTCATTTATCCTACTACTTATTCGCTGCTAATGAATATCCAAAGTCTCTGCTAATTAAACTCAGTTGAATCACTGCCTTGGGGTGAGGGATGTTGAAATTGAGCCCTGTGTGAGAGTGCCCTCTGGTGGTTTCACCAATAATGCTTTTCTCAACTGGAGGCCTTAATCCCTCTCCCCAGTGGAAAATTCTCATCTGGCTAAATTTATTCAATTGAAAGGACCATCCCACTTATGCAATTTTTAAAAACTTACTAAAGGAAATAAATGGATATTTCATTAAAATGTTAGTGATGGAGCCAGGCGTGAATCTTTTTTCATTATTTAGTTTTTGTTCATTACCATCAATTTAAGTCTGCAGTCCAGGTAGACTTGGAAAGGAACAAAGAAAATAGGGAACTGGAGGAGCTGCAGTGATAGCGCAGAGGTGATGGGATACCGCTAGCAAATGGGGCGGAGCTTGTCCTCCTTGATCCAGGGAGGAATGGTCTGGTAGGTAGGATACGCTCAAGTCAAATGCATTAGGATGGTCCACAGTCAGTGAGGGTGAGCTCAGTGCAGGTCTTGCCCTCCCAGGACCCGAAGCGCTCCACAGCCTCCTCCAGGTCCACGCCCTGCTTCACCTTCCCAAGGCCACAGGCTTGCCATCCAAGCACTCGGCCTGGGCAGTGCAGATGAAAACCTCGGAGCCGTTTGTGCTTGGTCCGGCATTCCTCGCGGACAAGATGCCAGGGCCTGTGTGCTTCACGCGAAGTTCTCATCAGTGAATTTCTCCCCCTGAAGTCACCACCCTGGCACATAAATCCTGGAATAATTCCGTGAAAGCAGGAGCCTGCGTAACCAAATCCTTTCTCTGCAACCCTCAGAGCATGTGAGTTTTCCCGTCTTCGGAGCTTTGTCTGCGAATAGCTGGAAGGAGCCTCGGCCCAAAGGGTCGCTGTGGGAGGCCAGGTCAAAGGCAATATGGAGGTGCAGCCTTCAGCAACGGTGATTTCCTACCCAGTAACCGTGGCTGAGCACTGTGTCCCAGTACGACAGGGACAAGCTCTGGAACCTCTGCAGAGATGATGACTATTTCAGAAACCGGAATCCCAACAAGTCCTCTGACTAAGCCCCAAACCCATCCAAGGGCCCCTTCCCGAAGGTGAAATGCAGCCCTCACAAAGCAAGAGAACCAAGACCACCGGCCAGCCCTGTATGTCAGCCACAAGCTCCTGCTGCCCAGGCAAAAGAAGGGGAATGTGGCCTGCAAGCACTGGTCAGACCTTCTAGTTTGGTCAACTACAAGCCTTGTCCTGTGGCAGTCAGCCACGCTGTGTGGGTCCGATGGCCTCACCTACACACCCAAGTGCAAGTTGGAGCTCCACGCTTGCTCTGCTGGTGAAAGCCCCGCGACTCTCCGAGGTGGGCCCTGTCCTTGTTTCCCCGAACCCAAGCTGCCAAAACACAAGCCAGAAAAGAATGCCTGCGCAGACAAGGAGCTGAGGACCTTGCTTCCCAGCTGGAAGACGGCTTGGAGCTCTTCATGAGGATGCAGTCATCAAGCCCGCCAGCTCCGATGGAGCCCAAGCAGGTTTGACACCGGCATCCTGCCGATCTGCAGGCTCCCTGGGATGGAGGTGCAGCAAGTTGGATATGAACTGCGATCTCCTGCTGCACCCCTGAGAAATCAATGCCGTTTATGTGGATAAATATGAGCCCTGCATCAGGTTCTCTTCAACTCCCGTGTGACGACGGGGGCTGTTCCACGCCATGCAGGGCCACGGGAGCAAGGGCAATGCTGGGGTGGGGATAAATTCGGAACGAGCCGGCCTGCTCCCGAGACGGTGCTGGAGCTGGGAAGAGGAGCAGGAGGCCTCGAGGGATGCGGGCCTGGTGGCTCCAGGGTCGTGCTGGATGACCGAGGATGAGCAGGAGCTGGGCCCTAAGGTCAAGGAGGGCCAACGGAGGGTGCACACCCGGCCCCGGCCAGAGACAGGATGATGAGGGTGCAGGAGGATGAAGACGAGGTCGGGATGTGGGGTCCTGCCGTGAGGAGGACACGTATTTCGCACACGACTACACGTCACTCCCTCTTCCTGCACTCACGTCCGCGTCGGCGTCTCCCGCCCACTGTTGCTCTCTGTGCCGACAGAGCTTTGGCGCACAACTGCTTGCCGCAGGGCATTCTCGCTTTGTATACGGTTATGTGGGAGAAAGGGTGTCTGGGGTTATTTTTTGGACAAAAGAACTGCTCTTTTAATTAGCCTCCTTCCTCCTGTGAGATTTGCGCGACAAGCTGATTTGCGTGGACTCCCACAGTGCAGGGAGCCCCGCCCTCAGCAACGCCGAAGCCCCTCTGCGGCTGCCCGCAGCAGTGGCTGTTGCAGCGTGGCTCCCAGGCTGTGTCCAAGTGTTCTTCTTGCGTCCTGTGTGTCGCGGGAAACACGGCACGCTACCTTTCCTCCTGCCCCTACCGTAATTTTCTTACCACTAAAAAATTAAAACAATTTCAGCATTCTGGGAGGCTGAGGCTGGACCTGGCCCAGGCAACTCATCCAGCCTCAAAAAAAAAAAAGGGGGGGTGGGGGTGGGGATTTAGCTCAGTGACACAGTGCCTGCCTGGCAAGCGCGAGGTCATGAGTTTGATTCCCGGCACCGGGGGGAAAAAAAAAAAAAGGGCTGGGGATGCAACTCAGTGTGAAGGTTCTGGATTCAACCCCCAGTACCTTAAGAATAAGTTAGTGTGATGGTGGTAAAAGGTTTCTATCCCTGAGGCAAGGGACAGGAGAAGCAGGGAGAAGTGATGCTGGCGATAGAGTGTTTAAGAAAATGAAAAAATGAGCAACCCCTGAAAGCCCAAATTCCAGGAACGACAGTGCTATATTCCCAGTACAAGGTCAAAATCCATTCTCCACAGCAGGGACAGCTTGGGCGTCCTGGAGTTGAACAATCTGTTTAGTAGAACTCTGCACCCGGAAGAAAAGTTTTGTCATTTTGTTTTTATTTTTTATATCTTGATCTTTGTAAAATTTTGGCATATAAACCTGGAAGAAAAAACTAACCATCTTTCAAGGATTTATCATCAACACATCTGGTTAATATTTCTGGCTATCAAGTTTTTATCAAACTTACGTTGACCCTCCCCTTACTATCAATGAAAAAGTAAACCACTTAAAAACATCTCCCTTGGGTACACAGGGTTGCCATCATTACGCCCTTTATTCTCTCCTATTTGCTCTTCTTTACATTGTACTGGCCACTTGAGCCATCGGGTAGATTTTCTTTACTAAAAGAATTAAATAATAAATTGAGCAAGAACTTACTTTGCATACCTGTTCTTGATTTTTTTGTTTGTTGGAGACAGGGTCTCGCTATGCAGTCCAGCTTGGTTTTGACTCACTCTGTAGCCCAGCCTCTCCTGGAACTCGCTGCAGTTCAGACCCCAGCTCCCCCACTTGCTAGGCAGGGTCTGGGCCAGGCAGCCCTCTCTGAGAATAAGGGTAACGCTCCTTCGAAGGGTTACTGTGTAATTTAGTAATGTAAGGAAAGGGCCTAGCAGATACCAGAAAATGATGAAAACGTAACAAATCTACTTATTGCCTAGAAGTCAATGCAAACACTGTAATATTTATTTCCTGGGTATGGTTTAGCCTGGCCTTGAACTAGCAGCAATCCTCCTGCCTCAGCCTCCCAAGTGTTGAGATTACAGGTATGCAACACCATGCCCAGCTTATAAATCTATTCTTAAAGGGAATTGAAAAATCCCTTCAGAAGAAACATGCACATTTTATTAATCACATTTACACTATTAATGATGTTTGGCTGATGATATAAAATACCTAACCTACCAGACACATAAGTGATAGACTTTAATATCTCAAAGGGAAAATAAGATGAAGTAGTTTCACTAAAAAAAAAGTCGAATCAGATTTAATAAAGAAATACACAATTTAATATGTAAAAAGACATTTTATTATTTTACTATTACCACACAGTACTGCTGTATTTTCCCCAATGGCAGACGCGACACAGGATGATTCTCCCAAGAATGTCAAATCATCTGTCTTTTGGAGGGTTCGGTTTCATACGACGTCTGTGATACCTTGAAAAAAACAAAAATATTCGAGATAACGATTATTTTAATAAATTAATTACTCCTGATAAAGATCTTAAGTATTTATATTTTGCTGTTTTTACTTAAACTGTTTGAGAAATCCATGAAATTTTATAAACATGCTATTGAAATAGCTCACTTTTTTTTAACATTAGCCACACCCCCCACTATGGAAACTTGGGTTTTTGACAGCCGTGGAGACTCAATCCAGTACTTCCACACTCACCTACGTCTTCAGCACTTACGATTTTTTTTTTTCTTTGAGACAGGGTCTCACCAAATTGCTAAATTGCCTAAGATAGTCTTGAACTTTGACCCTCCTGCATCAGCCTCCCACAGTGCTGGGACTGCAGGTGTGCGCCACCATGCCCTGCAAAAACTGTTTTCTATTAATTAAGCACTTTGGAAAATCTGTCAGCTCTTGGGGATAATTTCAAAATAAGCTAGATTATTGATTTTCAGTTAAAAACTAGTAACTGTAGCTGCACGTGGTGGCACACAGCTGTGATCTCAGTGCTCTGGGAACCTGAGACATGAGGATTCCATATTCAAGCCCAGCCCAGGCAATTTAGCAAGACCCTGTCTCAAAATAAAAATAAAAAGGGGTAAGGGTGTGGCTTAGTGCAAAGGCCCTGGGTTCAAGCCCCAGCATCACAAAAAAAAAAATGAAAGACTTAATGATTTGTCTTCATAGTAAAGAAATACCCCATCATAAACATGAACATGCACTATTAAAGTTTAATTTAATAAGGGATATTTTCCTCTGAACAGAAACCCTTAAACCATAAATTCACATTCTAATAAAAAAGGGAAGCTGGGCACGGTGGTACATGACTATAATCCAGCAAGGCTGAGGCAGGAGGATCACCACAAGGTCAATGCCAGTCTGAACTACATAATGAGACCTTGTCTATGAAAACAAAGCAAAACTAAAAATAATTATAATGTCCATTCTAAGGATAGGTGTGGTGAAATAAGTATCAGAATAGAATTAAACTAGAAATAAGGAGCAGACTATCAGGAAAATTTCAAGATATTTAGAAATTAACAACTACAAAGTAATCCATTAGTCAAAAAAAAGAAGAAAATTTCACAAGGGAAAGTAAAAAGTACTTTGAACTGAATAAATTTTTAAAAATCAAAATTTGTGAGATGCAGCCAAAGTAGTGCTGACTGGAAATGTATTAGCACTAAATATTTAAAATAACTAAAAAATTAAAACTGAAGAAAAGTATAACAAAGAGCAAAACTCAAATAGAAAACAAAAATAAAAGAATCAGCTAAGCGTGCTAGTATACACCCATATCCCAGCACTTGGGGGTCAAAGCAGAAGTTCCAGGCCAGTTTAGGCTCCAAAGTGAGTTCAAGGCCAGTCTGAACTACATATTGAGACCCTGTCTCAAAAATTTAAAAGCTTGAGCCAGGTGTGGTGGCGCATGCCTGTAATCCCTGCACTCGGGAGGCTGAGGCAAGAGGATCCTTGTGAGTTCGAGACCAGCCTGGGCTACAAAGTGAGCTCAAGGCCAGCCTGAACTGCATAGTGAGACCCTGTCTCAAAAAAAAGGACACACACACAAAAATTAAAAGCTAAAATAAAAAATAACAGAATCAAATCTAAAAGTTTTTTTCTTTGAAAAGATCAAGAAAATTAACAATTATCAGGAACAAGAGAAGTAATATCACTACACATTATAAAAATATTTAAAAGACAGTAGTGAAATACCATGAACAACTAATTGTACGCATCAGGAATTTAGATGAAACGCAAATTCTGTGAGAGACACAAACTACTAAAGTGCCCTCAAGAAATAAAGGGAATAGCATTATATGTCAACTAAAGCAATTGAATATGTAATTTAAAACTTTCTGACAAAGCAAGTTCCAGACTCAAATGGCTTCAATGGTGAATTCCGATGAACATTTAAGAGAGAAAGAATATATATTCCTCCAGAAAACTGGAGAGGAAGGAATACTTCCAAACCCACTTTATGATGCAAGCATTACCCAGAAACAAAAAACAGACAAAGCCATTACAAAACTGTAGTCCATTAGCCACAATAGACAAAGATGTGAAAATTCTACACAGATTTTACAAACTGCACACAATATTAAAAGAATAATACATCATGACCAAGAATGGAAGGCTGAATTAACATGGAAACATCATGTAATATAATTTACCATCATAAAAGAGTAAGGAAGTAAGCCATAGCATTACAGACAGCTACGTTATTTAGAAATAGGGGCAGAGAGGGCTGGGCCATCGAGCAATCAGCGCAGAAGACAACTGTGGCTGGAGGCGCATCCACTGAAGCCTCAGGACAGAGAAATGATTACACCCATATATGCCCCCTAAGGATGAAGAGCAGGCATCAGTCACCTCAGGTGGGCACCAAAACCTCCCTGGCCCCTCCCTTCCAGGAAAGTCCTTGCTCCTTCCAAGTACACTTGCTCCGTGACTTCTTCCCTATCTGATCCCCAGTTAATCAATATTACCTAGGTGACTATACTTGTAATCTTATTGGTTGACCACAGTTTTGTCTCACCTCACACCCACCTTGTGATTTTCCATTGGACCAATGTTACCTAAAGTACTACACTTGTAATCTTATTAGTTAACTACAGTTTTGTCTCACCTTATTCCGCCTCCCCTCACTCACGGCTTTCCTCTACAAAACGCCCTTGAGAAGCTGGGTCCCCAGGTTACCCACTCAAGACTCCCTTCAATCCTTCTCAGACAAAAGCTTTCTTTCTCTCAATATAATGCTTCCTACTCTTAACCTCCATTGTTCCTAGAATTTATTTTTCAATTTTAGAGAACAAGAACTCAGCATTTGAGACATCTAACAGGTTGGGAGTCATATTTGGATTATTTGGAGGTCTTATATCAGACAACCTATATCAATCACACAATCTTAGTAAGTACAGAAAAAAAAGCATCCAACAAATTTCACCCATTTGTGATAAAAAAAAAAAAAGATAGTAGGGACTTTCTGAACCTGAGACAGAACATCTACATAAAGTTCAATATGTAGTAAGCATCACACTTTAAGTTAAATGACTCTGCATTCCTTCACGAAAACTGGGAAAAGGCAATAATATTTTTGCTCTCAACACTGTGGTCAACATTGTACTTAAGGTCCTAAGCAATAAGGCAAGGAAGAGAAATAAAAAGCATTATAAAAAGATAACTAGCAGCTGGCCCTGGGGGCACAAGCCTGTAATCTCAGTGCTTTGGGAAGCTGAGGCAGGAGGATTGCAAGTTCAAACCCAGAAGGGCCAACTTTGTGTCTTACTGAGACCCTGTCTCAAAATGTAAAATTTCTTAAAAGCCAGAGATATAGCTCAGTGCAAAGGCCCTGAGTTCAATTCCAAGTGCCACAAAACCAACCAACCAACAAACCAAAATCCCTAAATGGGAAAATATAGTATCCCATTTTCATGACACACTGAATGATTATTGTAAAGACATCAATTCTCCTAAAGTTGATCTACAGATAGAATATAATCCTCTTTCAAAAATCACAGTAGGCTTTTTACAGAAATTGAAAAACCTAACTAAAATTTATGTGGAAATGTAGGAAACACAGGATTGCTGAAAAACTTCAAAAAAGGTCACAAAGGTGGAAGGCTTACTCTACCTGATTTCAAGACTTATTTAAAGACAGACACATACATTAAAGGAGCAAAACAGAGCCTGAGGCCAACACTGATTTTAACAAAGGTTCTAGGTCAGCTCAGTAGGAAGGGATAATGTTTTCAAGCAATGGTCTTGAAACAACTACATACATTATCCATGTGCAAAAAAATGAAGTTCAAGTTTCATTTCACACCACACATAAAAATCAGCCCAAACAAATCATGGACTTAAACATTAAAGCTAAAATTATAAAACTTGTAAGTGGTTTTGGGTTAGGCAAAGATTATTTAAATATAACAAAAAGCCTGAGCTACAAAGGAAAACATTGTGAACTAGACTTCATCAAAATTAAAAAGCTTGTGAACTTCAAAAGCTATTTAGGAAATGAAAAAGCAAGCCATAGACAGAAAATATTTACACAGCACATAGCTCATAAAGTCCTTTGATCTACAAGTTCTACATCTTAGTACACAACCAATGTGCTTTTTTAAAACTAGGCAGAAACTTAGAGATACACCACCACGTAGGAGACCCAGCCCAAGCAACCAGCGGTCACAGGAAAGTGCTCAGCATCACTAGTCATTGCAGAAACATAAATTAAAGCTGGGATGAGATACAATTTAAAAGACTAAAGTACGAAGTTGAGGGAAAGATGCGGAGCAACTAGAATTCACACACTGCTGGGGAAATCTAAGAGGGTCAGTCACTTTCACAGCTTCTGACCAATTTAAACCTGACTTCACCACATCAGTCAGTAATCTTACTCATAGTAATTTATCCAAGAGAAATGAAAACATGTCAGTACAGTGACTTATACTTGAACATTTGCATAGCTTTATTCATACAAGCCTAATATTGCAAAGAATTCAAAATCCCCATCTACATATTAGTAGATAAACAAATTGTGGTCTACCTATACAAGGGAGTATCACTCAGAAATGAAAAAACCCAGGCATGGTGATGCCTGTAACCGTAGCACTCATTAGGCTGAAGCAGGAGGATCACAGTAAGTTCAGGGAAGCCCAAATTACACTGAGAGCCCCTGTCTTAGCAAGAAAGAAAGTGAGAGAGAGACAGAGACAGCGACAGATAAGGAGGGAGGGAGGGTCGGAGGAAAAAGAAAGGGCAAGCATTTTATATCTCTTAATAAAAACATTTAAAAATTGTGAAATATTAGTAAATCATTCTTCTATGTATTGCCTGAGGCTTAGAGAGAAATGGTCACTGATACCTACAAATCAGTATTTGCAAACACCTTACACTGTATTAATCTAAAATATGTATGTGGGGCTGGGGATTTAGCTTAGAGGCACAGCGCCTGCCTGGCAAGTGCAAGGTCGTAAGTTCAATTCCCGGTACCGGAAGAAAAACAAAAAATAAAAATAAAAAATAAAAAAAATAAAGTATGTATGTGGATATCAAATAAATATTTATTGAAATGATTTGAAAGTACAATTCCAGGTAAAAATGTTCCCAATGCATGTAAATTCATATCTGGGTTTTCGTTGTGGGTTTTGTTTTATTTTGTCTTGCTGAGCTTATTATTAGGATACTGGGATAAGCAATTCCCTCTAATTAAAGTCTGCTTACAACTGAAAGTACCCAGTAATCCAGATGGGGAAAAGACATACTAGGTTAAATTAATTAGCAGTCACAACCCAGTTTAGTAGTAATAAGATTAAAAAGTAAGTAAGATTAACACATTCACAATGGGCCCAGAATTTATATGTCTCGCTGCTGGGTGGCTGTGAACCGCTGGTGGTACCTGTGTGAATGTCCAGGTGGGTGGCATGGGATGGACCCACTGGGTAGTATAAGGCACTTGATGGGACAGTCATGCATATGCCACCAGAGGCTCAAGCCAGAGGAGACACGTTAAACATAAGCAGGGTATCAGACACAAATGTCTGAAGATCACATGCTTGGCTTTAAGACTGCTAACAGTCTTCTTACTACAGACAACTACATTAGGTAGAAATATTACAGGCAGACAGGGCTGGGCCCTCAAGGGACCGTGAGGGCAGAAGATGAGAACACATCAAAAGTATGGCTGGAGGTGCATCCAAAAGAGATTAAAGCCACAATGGACAGATTTATATACTTCCCTAAGGGGTACGTGGAAACTTGAGATTATTGGTACCACCCTTCTGAGATTTTCTATATGAACCATTACCTCATTAGGGGTGGGCCATCCTCTCCCACCCACTAAGACTAAGACTACTCAAACCATAGATTATCCACCGAAGTTGATGATGCCATCCATGTGCCCTCACTACTACTAGATCCATATTCGCTAAGCAGCTATACTTATAACCTTCGTGGTTGATTATAGTTTTCATCCACATTGTGTCCACCTCATGATTCTGCCCTATAAACTTTCTCAGAGATGCAGACTCTCTGGTAACCCATCCACAGCCTGTCTCTCAGAGCTATTCCTATTCCCCGGTAACTTTCCTACTCTTAACCTCCGCTGATCCTTCAGATTCACTCTTCGATTTTGGGAGACACGAACTTGGCATATCTGACATCCAGCAGGTTGACAGTTACACATTTACTCCCACTACGTCATTCTCACCTTGTCTTTTGTTTGTTTCATTTTTTTGAATAAGGTTCTCACTATGCAGTTCAGGCTGGCCTTGAACTCACTTTGTAGCCCAGGCCGGCCTTGAACTCCCAGCAATGCTCATGCCTCAGCTTCCTGAGTGCTGGGATCACAGGCGTGTGACACAACGCCAGGCTGTCTAGTCTGAGATATTCTAAAGTTGGTATTACTGGGAGTAAAGTAAGACTGGGGAAATAAAACGCACAATGGAATGAATTGCATGCCATGTGTACAGTACACACAGTTAAGGCTCTCAGAGTGACTTCACCATAATATGCAGTGCAAGGCAGAGCCCTGAGGAATTGCCATTATAACTAAGGATGAGAGAGCAAGTACCTTCTGAAGATGAAGACAAACTGAAAAAGTAAACTGAGCTCCAGGATCCACAGATGCACTGCTTTCAAAATTGTTCCTATCAGCTGATCCACAGACCCTTCAAAACTTGCTCCCCATTCATATTCACATACCACCTCCTCCCAAATAACCCAGGAAGAAACAAGGGGCCTCCTGTCCCTTCCCTCTCTCTCCTCATTGCATTCCCACTGATGGTTAATTAAATTCTTAAATACCAGTCTTCTTTTTATTTTCCTCCTTTTTATTCCCAATGGTGATTCATTTTAGCTCTTCAACATTTTTCAGTGGACTACTGTAAATTTCCTAACAGGCTTCCCTGACCCCAATTTTTCCTTACAGCCCCTTGTCCCAAATACAGAGCCTTCTTAATGATCTTCTAATGCATACATGTCAGTTCACTTCTAAAAACTCCTCAGCACAAAATTCTCCCAGTACCCTTCCTCCATCCCACCTCATATTCTGGGTTTCACCTAATCTGAATTCCATGCAATTTCCCTTCAGCTCACATGCTGTTCCTGCCTGTGGAGCTTTTCCCCATTTCCTATAGGTACACCTTAATCTTTGTTCTAGAGTCAGTCACACTTGATTTTTTGCTTCTGCTTTTGCTTTTTTTTTGAGAGGGTCTCACTATGTAGTTCAGGCTGGCCTTGAACTCATGGCAATTCTCCTGCCTCAGCCTCCCAAACGCTGGAATTGTAGACATGTGCCACCACACCCAGTTGAGCTTAATCATTTACTCTACTATCTTCACTCCTTGATGGCAAGCAGCTTACTTGTGGTTTTGATCACTCAGCACTTAGTAGAGCAGCCCAATGAAGATATATTATTTCCACAAATGTACCCACTACAAATGTGCCAGCCCAGTAACAGTGGGGTTACACAAGTGAGTAAGAGCAAAGTTTGTTCAAACAAACAACAAAAATCAGCTCACAGTTTGGTTTGGAAGACAGATAGGAAAGAAAGATGGTTCTGGGTTGGGAGTGTAGCTCAGTGCAGACTGCTTGCCTACCAGTGTAAGGTTTTGAGTTTAATCCCTAGCACCACAAAAAAAAAAAAAAAAAAATCAAAACCCAAAAACTAACTCTGATGGAAGGTAAAAACAGTGGCACTTGCCTATAATTCTAGCTACTCAAAGGCTGAAGCAAGAAGATTCTCAATTCAAAGCCAGCCTATATAATTTAGGGACTTAGTGATACCCTGTCTCAAAATAAAAAAATTTGAAAGTGGGAGGGAGGATAGGGATGCAAAGGCCCATGGTTCAATCCTCAGTACCTAAATAAACCAACACATAAAAAGGGTGGGGACATAGCTCAGTAGTACAGCACCGCTGGGTTTGATCCCCAGTACCAGGAGGGAAAAAGCATGAAAACAAAGAACTTATGTAATAAAATGTGAGCACTTGCAAACAGAAGGGTAACTGTAATTTCCACAGGAATAAACAATAATACATATTGTCCAGTTATCTGCTGAACCCCAATTTTAGGGAAGAATAATTCTTTTTTTTTTTTGAGACAGGGTCTCGCCATGTAGCCCAGGCTGACCTTAAACTCTCAGCAATCCTCCTACCTCAGCCTCCCAAGTGCTGGGATTCCAGGTGTGTACCACCAGGCCTGGTTTGAACCCCAATTGTTTTGTATTAAAGAAATGGATAAACAGGTGAGGACAGAATCAATTATTTATCAGGAAAAACAAAAACAACACACTAAATGACACCACTGAAGAATTTTTAAGAACTCTTGTAAAATTCATTGAAAGCATTAGTTAAGGGGCTGGGGATTTAGCTCAGCGGCAAAGCGCCTGCCTGGCAAGTGCAAGGTTGTGAGTTCGGTTCCCGGTACCAGAGAAAAACCAAAAAAAAAAAAAAAAAAAAAAGAAAGCATTAGTTAAATTCTGTCATTAAAATAAAGGAAATAGGGCCAGGGATATAGCTCAGTGGCAAAAGTGCCTGCCCGGCAAGCACAAGGTCCAGAGTTCAACTCCTGGTACCAAAAAATATACATAATAATAATAAAATAAGAAAGAAAAAAAAATCTTTAAAAAAAATAAAGGAAATAGTCCAGGCGTGGTGACGCACTCCTGTAATCCAAGCACTTGGGAGATTGAGGCAGCAGGATTGCTACAAGTTCCAGGGTGGCCTGGTCTACACCGTAAATTCAAGGCCAGCCTGTACTACATGGTAAGACTCTGTCTCCTGCAATCCCAGCACTTGGGAGGCTGAGACAGGAGGATCATAAGTTCCAGTCCAGCCTGGGCTACCTCATGAGTTCAACGCCAACCTGGACTACACAGTGAGATCCTATCTGAAAAAACAATAATAATAATAAGAAGAAAAAGGTCGGGTGTGGTGGCACACACCTGTAATCCCAGCACTCGGGAGGCTGAGGCAGGAGGATCCCTGTGAGTTCGAGACTAGCCTGGGCTACAAAGTGAGCTCAAGGCCAGTCTGAACTGCATAGTGAAACCCTGTCTCAAAAAGACAAAAAAAAAAAAAAAAAAAAATAATAATAATAATAATAATAATGAAAAATAAAGGAACACTGAACTCTTTCATTTTAACTATAGCATACAGGGATTTTAAAATATACTAAAAAGAAAAATAAGAAAAGAAAAAACAGCAGAATATAGTATGTGATCACGCATGGGGCTCATTTCCCTAAGCACAACCCCATTTCAGAAGCTGCTAATGCAAGAGAAACTGATTCCTTTAGCATATGCAGTGGGCACTGAAGACAGAAAGTGAGACCTACTGTCCACGAGGGTACCAACGATGCTTGGTCGTAAAGAACATTTTGCTAAGTTGTTCTATCATGGGTCCTTGCTCAAGGCATTCATTCTCTTCTAATCTGGTCTTCAGTATTTGATCATGTGTTTCTTCAATATTATGGACAGGATCTGGTCGAGGGATAGGCTGCAAAATAATCAGTAACAAACAACATCAAAATACAAAAATGTTAGCCAGGGTTTGACTGAGCTGACAATAAAGCAAGTACTATACTTGGTAGTGCACTCAGCACTTCAGGGGAGGTAAGTTATCAGAACAGTTCACATAGTGGTATGATTCAATAGAGTTAAAATGCTTCTCTTCCCACAGCAAATTTTTGGTTTCTTTTCCAATAATAATTTTTTTTTTTTTTTTGGTCTTTTTGAGACAGAGTCTCGCTATGCAGTTCAGGCTGGTCTTGAACTCACTTTGCAGCCCAGGCTGGCCTCGAACTCACAAGTTCCTCCTGCCTCAGCCCCTCAAGTGCTAGTATTACAGGCATGCACCACCATGCCTGGCTCCAATAATAAAATTCTTATTCAAAATTATTCTCCCCCAATAATAAAGTAGTTGTTACTTCAGTTTCTATTTCCCAAAAGTATAAATTAGGCCCATTATTACCATCTGGCATAAAAGTCTACAGTACACCTGATGTACCAAGGTGTGATGCGATGGAAGCCCCTTCGCTGGGCTCAGTGTACTTATCTAGCACATGCACCAGGTCCTGGGAGTGAGCCCCGGCAACGTAAAAAACAAACGAACAAGAACAGAACTGAAGAATATAATGTTTCTTATATTCTATAGAAACAAAAAGTTTTCTATGTTTTCATGCTGGGTGGCAGCAATGCTATCAAATAATGCTTTACGGTAAGTTTGAGTAGTTTTCCTCCTAAAGACATCAATTACTACAAAATTTCATCTCTCCCAATATGTAAGCGATACATCTTCCCATCAGCAGCAATGGCTCATCAAAGCCTTTAAGGATCACTGGCTTGAAGGGCCAAGTGACCTACTTTTATTTATTTATTTATTTTTTGGTGCTGGGAATCAAACTTAGGACCTTGTGCTTGCCAGGCAGGTGATGTGCCACTGAATTATATCCCCGGCCCTTTTTTTTTGAGACAAGGTCTTGCTATGCCATTCAAGCTGGCCTTGAAGTATGTCGTCTAGGCTGGCCTCCAACTCACACCAATCCTCTTGCCTTAGCCTCCTGAGTGCCAAGATTACAGGCATGTGCCATCACGCCTAGCTTAAATATAAGTAATATTATGTGCCAGCCATGGTGGCGCACGTCTTTAATCCCAGCATTTGGGAGACTGAGGCAGGTGGATCACTGCAAGTTCGAGGTCAGCCTGGGTTACATGGTGAGTTTAAGACCAGCCTGAACTATAGGGCAAAAAAATCCTCTGTCTTAGATAGACAGACAGATAGATAAAATTAATATATGTAACAATAATTATAACATTTAATGTGATATGTGATAATAATGAAAATGACATACCAACGATAATGTTACAACTGTAACACACCTTGCTTTACAAATAACTGTACATATTATAGGATAATGAAAACCTAACTTTACAATCAGATATGCAACATTCAAATATAGATGTCTTATATTTATACACTCTTCCTGACAACTACAACACTCGACCACTGTATTAAATGTTATATCTACTTTATGTTCTTGAGAAAAGATGACTTCTTTGAAAAGTAATGTGGCTGGGCACAGTGGTGCATGACTGTAATCCCAGCACTCAGGAGGCTGAAGCAGGAAGACTGCTGAGTTCGAGACCAGCTTGAGCTACAAAGTGAGCTCAAGACCAGCCTGAACTGCATAGCGAAACCCTATCTCAAAAAGACAAAAAAAGAAAGCAATGTGTAAACCTAGCACTTGGGCAACTGAAGCAGAAGTGTGGCTGTGAGTTCAAGATATGCTGTTATGGCTTGTGTCTAGCTGTACACCTTCCCAAAGCCTCATGTAGTCATAGCTGGGGCTTTTTCAGAGGTGGCTGAATCTAGAGTGTGTGACTGATTCACAGCGCAATGCTAGGATTGAGGGTGGGTGATTACTAAATCAGCCCACTGACTGGTCCCAGTAGCCTGGACATAACATAAGGGAGAGAAAGAGGCTTCCCTTCTCCCTCCCTTGTCGCTTCACTACCTTCTGCCCGCCATGAAAGTTTCTCCTCTGCAAGGCCTGTCTGCCACTCTACCCTGCCATACAGCCAGCCGATTAGGAACTGAAACCTCTACACACTGTGAGCCAAAGAAACCTTTTCTCTTTGGGTGTCGGGTATTTTGTCTCAGCAACGAGAAAAGTAACAAAGATGTAAGCCGAGGCTGTAGAGTAAGTTTGAAGCCAGCCTGCACTACACAATGAGACCCTGTCCCATATTAAAAGGCAATGCACATGCATACACAGAGGTGGCACAACTGAACAAGCACTTCAGAAATGCAAAGTAAGGGAGATAAGAGAGAAGTGCAAAGGGTCCTATCACAGACAGAGTAATTCTACTTGGGGTAAGGAACACAAGTAAGTAGTTGTCTGTGGTATCACACACCTGTAAGTAAGTAGTTGTCTGTGGTATCACACACCTTTGGTATCACACACCTGTAATCTCAGCCTCTCAGGAGGCTGAGGCAGGAGGATTACAAGTTGGAGATCAGCTTAGGCAATTTGTGAGACTGTCTCAAAATAAAAACTAAAAAGGGCTGGGATGTACCTTGGTTTAATCCCCTGTACCCACTCCAAAAAGAAAAATAAAAGAAAAACAAGCAATGGAATGTAGGCAAGACCATATAAGGGGTAATTTTCAAAAATAAATCTCAAGAGACAAGATCATTTTTTTTGGTGCCAGAAATCGAACTCAGGACTCTGTGCTTACCAGGCAGACGCCGTGCCACTGAGCTGTATCTCCAGCCCAACAAGATGATTAAAGATCTTTAAAGTTGTAAGAAGCACTTACTTATTAGTTCTGTAGCACTCCCTCCAAGGGCAGGAGAGAACAAGGAGAATGGTGCGTGCGTGCACTGGTGTGCGGTGCTGGGGATCAAGCCTAGGGCCTTCTGCACACTCTGCAAGTGCTCTACACACGCCACAGCCCCACCCAAGGAGCAAGTACAATGAACAGGTCAGGAACACACACTGCTCTGACTCTGCCACTCGGATGAGTTGAACTTAATAACTCTTTAGGTAAAATCAGTGGAGTGATATCTATCTCCTAAGGGTTTCATGATTAAGTAAAATGATATATACCTATACCGTAGTATGCTTTGCTGTTCCAAGTACAATTTAATAGTGGTAGGTGGCTATTAACATTTCTTTTAAAATCCCAAACAGAAAAAGTGATATAAATTATTGTGAAAAGGTAGTGCTCCTTAGATATTTAAAGTGATCTTAAAAGACCATCCCTTTGATAGTAAACTAATAGCATCTTTGTACATTACTATTATACACTGAGAGGTACTAAGGAAACATGGACTTTGAGCTGTGAAAACTGTCAGAATCAAAATGGTGTCAGTTGTGTCAAGCCCTAGCAAATAATCTCAAGAAAAAGAGGAAGAGGATGAAGAATAAGTAGTAAGAGGAATAAATACAGAGGGAAGGTTCTCAAAGAGGGCTTCTCATGCATATTTTGCCTGATAGCATGAAGTAACACAAGATTCTGCCAGTAACTGCAGCCTTACACAAGTGCCACTGCAACCTTACACAGAAAGTCACATCAGTGAACACCTGCTCCCTTACTAATCTCTGTAGCTGTTCTGCCCTTAAAAATGTCCCCTTGGCCCCACGTTCTGAGCATGCAGTTTACTATGGCACTCATATTCTCACTGCAGTACTCTGCTATCTCAAACTCTACCTTTGGAGAATCTAACCCTATTGTTATTTAAGTTTTCATTTTTTGTCGCTAAAAATCAAATGTCTAAAATAAAAAAGCGCCAGGCATGGTGGCACACGCCTGTAATCCCAGCACTTGGGAGGTTGAGGCAGGAGAATTGTTTTGAGTTCGAGGTCAGCCTGGGCTACAAAGTGAGTTCAAGACCAGCCTGAACTGCATAGTGAGACCCTGTCTCAATAAGACAAAATAAATAAATAAATAAAACAATAAAAAAGCCAGGCATGTTGGCATACCCTATAACCTCAGCATTCTGGGTGGCTGAGGCAGAAGGATCAGCAAGTTTAAACCCTGCCCAGGCAATTTAGCAAGACAATAAAAAAATAAAACAGGGCTGGGGATGAAGCTCAGTGTGCAGGCCTAAAGAAAATCAATCAAGAAATTATTTTCAAACATAATGAAGGTGCACCGTCTTTCCCTAACCCCAAGCGGGCTTGATTCTAATTTAGCACAAACTCTTTTTCTCTCAAATGTTTCCAGGTATGAAGATAAAAGACGCTGGAATTAATAGATTCTTTGAAGTCCATACCAAGAGCCCCTGGCGGATTCAGTACTTTCTTCACTATAGTACTCCTTGATCAAACTTCAAAGAAAGGGCAGGTAAATGTGTCAGTACAATGAAAAAAAGGAAACAAAACTGAATGTCAACTTTATCCAACACTTAGAACTGTCATCTTGAATTTCCCTTTAAGAACTTTAAAATTTGACTTTTGAAATGTCCCACTAAATCAACTACTAAAAAGACATACGATTTTCCAAATCATTTCTTTTTGGCCCTGGCATAATACCTTTATTTTCCTAAATGATGAACCCAAAATCGTAGAAAAACATGTTAGAATTTCAGAACTTTATTAAATACACATCCGGCAGGAGGAAGGAGATCTTTGTCCTTACAACGTGCTTTAGACCCAACAATGCTGGAGAGTGTGCTAGGGAGTGAGCCTAACGCCTGCAAGGAAGAATGGAGGCATGAAGGAGAAAGGGCTGGGAGATGACAGCAACAGGAGAAACGACAGTGGATGATGTGGTTTGACGCCACGAGTTCCAGAGCTGGAAACTATGAGACAGAGAAGTCATCTGGATAGGACCTTGAGGAACTACTACCTCCAACGTTAAAGGAAACTGGGAGGGGACACAGCAATGCCGGAAAGAGACTGCCGGGAAGCAATGTCCCCAAGGTACACAGACAGATCTCTATCAGAGTTGGAAGTAAGGGCAACACCCTGGGAAGGGAAAGGTTATAAGAATCTGTCAATGACAGTAAGTTCTAAAATTATAGTGAGAAAGTTTTGTTGTTATAGTTGTTTTGTAAGTGGGAAAGTTTTGTGAGTTGGGAAGGATAGAAAAGTCAGATTCATAGATGTAAAAAGCCAAATAGGGAGAGAATCCAGATGTTAAAAATACACACTAACAACAACAACAACAAAAAAATACACACTAACAGCCTTGGGCTTCTTGGAACAACTGCTACAACAGCGGCAGAGCACGTAACAACAAAGGCACACAGAGACACAATGCAGAATGAGCTGGAGCGGGGATGGCACAAAGGCAGTGACTTAGGTCTGTTTTTTGGACACTTCACCCACAGAAATGAAACAAGAGGCCCTGGATTAGTGCCTATGACATGGAGCTAGACACGCAGCAGAAGGACAAAGTACTGAAAACAGTGCAGAGCAGGCCTGGAGCTCGGCGGTCAGAGGCTGCCTGGCAGGTATGAGGTCCTGCGTTCAATCTCCAGCACCCCAAAAAGAGAAAACAAACAATAAAAACGAGCAGAAAGACAGTAATCAAAATCAACAAGCACACTGGCCCTAGTAAAAACAGGTCCCTTTAAATGCATCATTATCTATTTGTTTTCTCCTTAAAAAGCAAATCAGGCACTACCAAATATGGCAGCAAAAGGCTTAAAGAAATAAGAGAAGGCATTTTAAATATAAAATAAAACAAAGATCAAACTAAAGTACTTGGAACAAAAACAAAAATCTCTTCTATCTGGTGCCTGAAGAAAAAGGAAAAAAATTAAACCAGGCTGTTTAAAATACACCTATTTTGGCTCATTAGCTGTAACTAAATTATGTGATAGTGCAGGCCTCTAATCCCAGCACTTGGGAAGCTGAGGCAAGAGAATCGCCACCAGTTCAAGACCAGACCGGAACATACATTGAGATCCTGTCTTGAAAAAAAAAATTAAAAATTCATCAAATGTTAAAGAATTACTAGAACAAAGCGTACGAAAGTTTTAAAATAGTACTCTAAAACACAAGCTCTTTCAGCTAGGCGTGGTGGCCTCCACTTATAATCCCAGTGCTCAGGAAGCAGAGGTAGAAGGATCACCATGAGGTCAAGGGCAGCCTGGACGACACAGTGAATTCAAGCCCAGCCTGAACTACCCAGGGAAACCCTGCCTCAAAAAAAAAAAAGTAGGGCTGGGGATTTAGCTCAGCGGCAAAAGCGCCTGCCTGGCAAGCGCAAGGTCGTGAGTTCGGTTCCCGGTACCGGAGAAAAACCAAAAAAAAAAAAAAAAAAAAAAAAAGTAAATAAAGTACAAGGTTTCAATAATTTATTAGATTATAATACAGAGAAGTAAGGGATAGCGTGTTTTATAGCTTGATACAGTGGTACCTTGGTTCACAAACTTAATGCTTTCCATGATTCTGGCTGCAAACTGAATTGGTCACAAACCAAATCAAATTCAACAGTTAGGTTCTATGTTGACCTTATAAGGAAATTTGATTTGATTTGCAACCAATTCAGTTTACAAACAGAATCACAGAAGGAATTAAATCCATGAACCAAGGTACCACTGTACTAGATATATCTGATCCCTAACCAGAAACCTACCAAATGTTTTAGACCAGAAATATGTCATAACTGTGTTTGTGTGTGTGTATATGTGTGTCTTTTTTGAGACAAGATCTCGCTATGTAGTTCAGGCTGGCCTTGAGCTCACTTTGTAGCCCAGGCTGGTCTCAAACTTGCAACGATCCTCCTGCCTCAGCCTCCCGAGTGCTGGGATTACAGGCATGAGCCACCACACCCAGTTTATAACTGTGTATAAATGGTTCTTTTTTTTTTTTTTTTTTTGTCTTTTTGAGACAGGGTTTCCCTGTGCAGTTCAGGGTGGCCTCGAACACACAGTGATCCTCCTGCTTCCACCTCCACCACTGCCTCCTGAGTGCTGGGCTACAGGAATGCACCACCATGCCTGGCCTTTATTTCTCTTTTTTTGGTACCAGGAATTGAACTCTAGACCTCATGCTTGCCAGGCAGGCGCTGCGCCACTGAGCTATATCCTCAGCCCTAGTTCATTTTATAAATGAAGAAAAACCATTGATAAAAGAAGATAAGCCAAGTATGCTGGTGCAGGCCTGTAATCCCAGCACTCAAGTTAAGGAAAGAGGATCACAAGTTCAAGGCCAGCCTTGATTACACAGTGAATTCAAGACCTGCTTGAACTACACATATCAAGAGTCTGTACTCAAAAAAAAAGAAGAAAAGAAAGAAGAATCAAAACACTAAAATAAAAAAGCAAAACAAGAAATGAGCAAATAATTCCCTTCTCTTTATATACTGTAAGGAAGTATGAACATTTCTAACAGCAAATTAAAATTTTTTCATACATACTCTTGTGTGTTCATATGGAATGTCCACAGAAGGGTGGTAGCATACTATTGTCCTGCCATCAGATGTCAAAGCAAGCTCTACTTTGCTAAAAGAGAATGTTTTAGACATAGAGTTATACTGCATTCAAGGTAGAATGATTATTCTTAGAGCTAAAATTAATTAATTACAAGTTGCTAAAAAGAATATGCTACACTACTGGACTGGAAAGCTCTAAGACTAGTGATGGCGAACCTTTTGGAGACTAAGTACCCAAACCGCAACCCCAAACCCACTTGTTCATCACAAAGTGCCAACACTGCCCCTACATGCATTGTTATCTGACACTCAGCTACTGGGGCAAGGCAGGGCAACGTGGCTTGTGTGCCAACAGAGAGGGCTCTGCATGCCCACTGGGCACATGTGCCAGAGGTTCGCAACCACTGCCTAAGAACCTTGCACAGAATATATCAGCTAAACTACCACAGCAAAGTAACTAGTGGTTAAACTCTACAGTATATTTTACCTAACAGAGGGTAAGGCAGTACACTGTTTCACCATGTTTTACCCCTGAATACCTAGCCAGGCACAGTGGCACATGTGTATAATCCCAGTTCTTTAAGAGGCTGATGCAAGGGGACAGCAAGGTGGCGCCTAGCCGTGGCAACTTAGTGAGACCCTATCTCAAAATAAATAATGAAAAGGGCTGGGGAGCTAGCTCAGTGGTCCAGTGCCCCTGGGTAGAAGGAAGGAAGGAAGGGATGAATGGTAGGAGGGAGGAGGAGAAGGAAGAAAGGGAAAAGAGAGAGGGAGGGAGAGGAAAAGGGAGAAAGTGAGGGAGGGAGAGGAGAGAGGGATGGAAAGGACAGGAAACGGAAGAGGAAAAGGGGCTGGAAAGGAAAGAGGCAGGGAAGGACGGATCCAATGTCATAACAACACTGAATTTTGTTTGTTCAAAGCAATATGGATTGAACCTAGGGCCAATCAACTCAGCTGCAGCGCCACTGCCTTTTAAAGATGTTTTTGGGAGACAGGGTCTCACTAAATTGCCCAAGTTGAGCTCAAATTTGCAGTCCTCCTGCTTCAGCCTCCCAGAGTGCTAGGATTAGGAAACATGACTACAATTTTTAACTATCAACTGGATTTTTTAAATTTTTTTTTTTTTTGGTACTAGGAATCAAACTCAGGACCTTGAGCTTGCCAGGCAGGCACTTGTGCCACTGAGCTATATCCCCAATCCTATCAATTGGTTTTTGATAAAGTTTTAAATAATGCAAAACAATTACATAACTCAACTTTTCAAGTTTAAAAAAATTACTTAGTCCAGCTGGGTATGGTAGCACACACCTACAATCCTAGCACTTGGGAGATGGAGAGTCGGGCAGGAAGATCTCTGAGTTCAGGCCAGCCTGGGCTACTTAACGAGCTGAAGGCCAGCCTGAACTACATGGTGAGACTGCCTCAAAAAATAAAACAAAAAAAGTTATCTAGTCCAATTTCATTACTAGCAACCTTAGTATACATTAAATGTGCAACTAAAACTAATGTTAACAAAGGGGCAAAGGGGCATAGGTCTGTACTCTTAGTCTTTCGGAGGCCGAGGCAGGAAGATCGCTGCAAGTTCTGAGGCCAGCCTAGAACACACAGTGAGTTCAGGGCCAGCCTAAATTACATAGCGAGACCCTATCTCAAAAAATGAAAAAACAAAATCACAAAATTAATGTCAAAAGAAAATATATTTTTTCTAAAATTTGCAATGAAAGTGCTTGCTTTAGCAGCACATATACTAAAATTTACAATAAAAATCAGACAACTTAAAGAAACACTGAAGTTTCTGTACATCAGACTCCCGTAGAGAAAAAAGGACTTCATAGATTTCCCAGTTTTTTGCATAATAACTGGAATTGAATATCAAGTAAATGGTGCTGAATTAAATATTTGTAATTTAGAATTATTCAATGTCAAACAAAAGATAACTACTTAAGCTAATAGATATGAACCCTACCAGAAAACTATAAAAACTAATTAACTTTTCCAAAAAGCTAAAGCATGCTTCAAGAAGAAAAGATAGCATTTCTAAAAGCACGTCACTTTTACAGCAAATTAAGTATTCAGTGAAACACAATAATAATGATTCTTATTTAAAACATTTATAATCCTAAACACTGGGTAAAAATAAGACCATTGAAATCATTTTTAAAAACAAAATTACAGAAAGACTAATCAGAAAAGTAAGCAGAAAAGAAAATTAAATCATTTCAGATACAGCTAAGACTATTATTTGTTCCATTGAATTTTAATACATACCAATTATAGTCATCTGGAAGAGAAGAAGATGTAGATTTACAGCAAACATGAGATAAAGCTCCATCTGCAAAAAGCAAAACAGTAAAGTGGATTTGTTTAATCCAAGCATATACTCACATCAATTTAAAGCTAGTTTACTCCGGTAACCAACATTTAGTGTTTACTATGAAACAGGTCTCTACTAGGTGCCATATTCAACAGCAAATAAGACTGAGTCCTGCCTTCAAAGCGACGCCAACACAGGGTGCACCTGCTTAGGACGAGGGGCACAGGGCAGCGCGCCAGAGTGGGCACGGGTCACAGCCCGCAGAGGCCCCGTCTGACCGTGGAGAAGCGCCACCGCGCTCCAAAGATGAGCCCGCATCCACAAAGTGGGGTGCGGGATTCCTCCAGGAGAAACAACAGCTAGAACCAGATTCAAAGAGTACCATGGCACCGACTCTGCTCGCAAACGGAACTGGACAAGAACAGAGTCAAATTTCCCCCCAAGGTCAACACTGAAACTAAACATTGAATTTGACTTGTTCAATTTGATTCCTGTCCAATTTGTCACCAGAATTGTGGAGAGAATTAAATTTGTGAATTGAGGTACAGTACTGGGGTATTCTGACCTTTCCAAGAAGGAATGGGATGTACTTGGGCATTTTAAGGTACATAATTTATAAGGAGTGATAAACGATAAAACACAAAACTATTTTTTGAGACTGGGTCTCACTTTGTAGTGCCATGAACTTACTATATTGGCCAGCCTGCCTTTGAACTCATGGAGATCCACTTGTTTCAGCTTCCCAAGTACTGGGATTACAGGCATGTGCCACTATACCTAGAAGGCCAGGTGTGGTGGCACTTGCCTGTAACCTCTTCACTCCAGGGGCTAAGACAGAAGGATCTCCAGGAGTTCAAATCCAGCCTGGACTACACAGTGAGTTCATGCCCAGCCTGAGCTACACAGCGAGACCCTGTCTCAAAAAAACCAATAAATAAATAAATAAAATGCAATTCAAGAGAACCACAATTACTTTAAATGTTTGTAAAAGGTCCACGTATGCTCTTTTAAATAATAAGAAAAAAAATTTAGAGGTAGCTCACTATAGTTTCAAGTAAATTCTAGGCTGGGCCTAGTGGTGCATGCCTGTGATCCCAGCACTTAGAAGGCTGAGCAGGAGGACTGCTGTGAGTTCAAGGCCAGCCTAGGCTATATAGGGAGTTCAAGACCAGGCTAAACTACATAGTGAGGCCCTGTCTCAAAAAACAAACAACAAGAAAAAAAGAAATGGACTTCATAAAACAGACATTATTAATATGTGCACATCAAACATATTAATAAGCTTTCAAGGAAATGAGACAGTTCATTAGAATTACATTTACTTTTTTTAATGGCTGGATACATAGAGAAAAAAAATTTTTTAAATACATCAAAATAGCCGGGTGTAGGGGTGCACGCTTATATCCCAGCACTCGGGGAGGCTGAGGCAGGAGGATCGTTGAGAGTTCAAGGCCAGTCTGGGCTACAAAGTGAGCTCAAGGTCAGCCTGAACTTCATAGCAAGACCCTGTCTCAAAAAGACA